GAGGCAGAAGAATCGCTTGAACCTGGGTGGTGGAGGTGGCGGTGAGCTGAGATCGTGCCATTGCAATCCAGCTTGGGCAACAGAGTGGGATTCCGTCTCAAAACAAAACAAAAAACTGATTTCATGGGGGCAAGATTCAAAGGTCAATGAAAGTCTGAGATTCTGAGGCCCTGATTTATTAAACCGATAGTTATGTTCTGGACCTAGGATGAGTTGAGCCCATTTATACAGTGCGGTGGGAAGGATCTGTGAGCCCGAGAGGCGAGGGTTTGAGATTCCGGTGGTGCTTCTAGTCATAACAGACGCGTAATAGGAAATCAAAGAAATACTTACCTTCTATGTACCAGGCCTATGATAATGCTTTAATATTTACTGATTTACCAAGTAAACTAGACAAACTTTATTATCGGAAACTGTTAGTTTTATTTAGTAACTCAGGCAAAATATTCACATACTCTTACTAGTACCAATAACCAACAATCACTACCATGGTTGACCTTTTAGGCTCTCTTTGACATACAGAAATGGAGAGCGTCCTAGAGTTTCACCTAATAAGTATCACTTACCTCTCCTCTGTCTCAATCTTACTTCCTCTACGTTTCTCTTCGCCTCTTTCTCACTTAGTTTTGAATCAATTATATTTTGTTGACTTGTAAGCTGCCTTAAATCCTTCTAGGAGCGGCATATAAATGGAAAAATACTGTCTCCCGTATCCCACGACCAAAGATAACCGCTATGAACATCTTCGTGTGTTGTTTTCCGGTATTTTTCTCTGCATATTTATGTACATAGTTAAGCCAGGTTGAAGACAGCCTATAATTATGTCAGGCCTGTGTTCTGTTCCTTTAGCATTTCTCCATTTAAACCTGACTCTTTGAAGTCTGGTGCTGTCTCATGACTATGTAACACATTATTTGACTTTTCTGGAATTCTGGCTGCATCTAAGGGGATAGGTTCGCTGTCACCGAGCCTGACTGAACAATTCTGAGATTATCAACACTGCCATAGGGCCCTGAAGAAGCGTCTAATGAATGCAGGAGTTCAAAGCGGTTTTGTTCAGGTGTTATTTTTGGAGACACTTTCTCAGGCTTTTATGATGCAACCCGCTTCGTGCTCCTTTCTTGCAGCAGCTGCGGCCAGGAAAAAAGCACTAAATGGGCTTGCTCACCGGTCCCCAGGGGTGGGTACCAGGGCAGGCAGTCCCAGAACACAGCTGCGTCCCTTCCAGGCCCTGCCTGGGCAGCTGAGAGTCAAGCAGATAGTTATTTGCCCTTCCTACCTCTTTTCTGCCTTCAGTAACTGGCAGCTCCATCCTGCCAGGGACTTTGGAAAGAGCTAGGACTTTCCCATCAGCCTGAGCTCCTGGATTTTCCCAGGCCTGGTGACTCAGGGTAAGGCACCAAGCCGAGGAAAAGAAAGGAGAAAGTGGACTCTTGGGTGCCTTTGTCCCACCTCTCAGGAAGGCCATCACCCACTCACTCCTGTGGAATCTCTCTGCCTCTTCATTGTAAAGAAAATCACCCCCAGTGAAGGGCAAAAAGAAGGGCCAGAGGGCCCTGGGGACAAGCCACATACTGGTAGAAAGGGATCCGGGGCAGGATCCGGACAGCTGAGAGGATGTCTAGCATCAGGATGAAAACCAGCAGTTCACACAGCTGCTTTGTTTGATCTACTCAGTATTTTTTAAATGGTAAATTTCATGTAAAATCTTGTATATCTGGCTTCTCCAGAAAAGTTAAGATCTGACAGCATCGGACCGTGTTTTCTCATGTAATATCTGAAGCTGGGGGAGCAGCCGGCCCTGGATGGAGTGTTTCTTCTCCAGATTAACACAGAGCCCACCAATTTGTTAAATCTCACCTCATAGAACAATAGACACAAAAATATACTGAAATGGGTTGAAAAAAGATATACATTTTTGATGAAAGTATTTCATTTATTTATGTATTTTGAGACAGATTCTTGTTCTGTCTCCCAGGCTGGATTGCAGTTAGCTCTCACTGCAACCTCTGCCTCTGGGGTTCAAGTGATTCTCATGACTCAGCCTCTCGAGCAGCGGGGATTTTTTTGTATTTTTAGTAGAGACAGGGTTTCACCATGTTGGTAGACTGGTCTCTAACTCCTGGCTTCAGGCCTTGGTCCTCCTCAGCCTCCCAAAGTGCTGGGATTACAGGTGTGACCCATTGCACCCAGGTTTAATGAAAGTATTTTAAGGTTTGCATTTATACATAAGGCTCTATGTTTGAAGTACTAAATGGTGATAGAATTTTGTATCTCAGATGGAATAACAATAGGAAAATGTTCTTCAGCAAATTGTAGCCCCCTAAAGGGAGATATAAACACAGACACACCATCTACCTTTCCTTCATGCTTCTAAAACAGATTATACAAATTACAATCCCAAACTAGAATCAGATACCATCCCTAGATCTACTACCAAGATCTATACACATTAAGAGAACAATGTTCTGGAATGAACCTGCTTTGCCATTGTAATTGGAACATAAACCGGATACCCTTTTCTCTTTCCAAGTTTTCGAAATTTCGGTCTCCCTCCTACATTCACCCCTTGTTGAATGTGATGGAAAGGCAATTAGGTCTGTGTCCCGCAGGAAAGCCCACAGTCAGGAGGGGAGTCTCATTGAGGTGAACGTCCCATTAAGACCCTCTCCGGTGAACCCCCAAGCACAGGGCAATGCAGGACATAAACTAAGAGCCTAGCTTTGCCGAATCCAGGTCAAGTTCACCAAGAGCAGTGTGTGAGCACCCTTTCTGCTCTGCACCCTGGCAATAGAGCCCTTTCTCATTGCAAGCCCAAGTGGTATCTGCAGTCCGCCTTGCCAGATCTGGAGGCAGAGCGGAGCTTGGTGAACAGGTGCCAGGGGATTCAGGTCATCAGTGGACTCTGCTTTAGAAGCCGTTTATTGCAAAGGTACTGGTTGATCACTGTCTGAGGGTTGGCTTTGAAGTCCAACACTCACTAGCAAAACCATCATGTCTCTATAACAGCAACTCAAGCCGATTTGATTTCTCCCATGAAGGTTCCAGATGAGTCTAATCAAGACGGGTTCCCACCCATCTTTTCCCAACACCAGAAGTTCCCTGTGAAAACTTTCTTTCTTTCTTTCTTTCTTTCTTTCTTTTTTTTTTGAGACGGAGTTTCGCTCTTGTTACCCAGGCTGGAGTGCAATGGCACAATCTCAGCTCACCGCAACCTCCGTCTCCTGGGTTCAGGCAATTCTCCTGCCTCAGCCTCCTGAGTAGCTCGAATTACAGGCATGTGCCACCATGCCCAGCTACTTTTTTGTATTTTTAGTAGAGACGGGGTTTCACCATGTTGACCAGGATGGTCTCGATCTCTTGACCTCGTGATCCACCCGCCTCGGCCTCCCAAAGTGCTGGGATTACAGGCTTGAGCCACCGCGCCCGGCCTTCCCTGTGAAAACTTTCATTGTTAACATGCACTAAATACTATTTATGTGCCTAGTACTGTTCTACATGCTTTACATATTTTAACTCGTGTTTTTTTTTTTTTTTTTTTTTTTTTTGAGACGGAGTTTCGCTCTTGTTACCCAGACTGGAGTGCAATGGCGCGATCTCGGCTCACCGCAACCTCCGCCTCCTGGGTTCAGGCAATTCTCCTGCGTCAGCCTCCTAAGTAACTGGGATTACAGGCACGCGCCACCACGCCCAGCTAGTTTTTTGTATTTTTAGTAGAGACGGGGTTTCACCATGTTGACCAGGATGGTCTCGATCTCTCGACCTCGTGATCCACCCGCCTCGGCCTCCCAAAGTGCTGGGATTACAGGCTTGAGCCACCGCGCCCGGCTTAACTCGTTTTACTCTAACAGGGACCATTATTCCCAGTTTGCACATGAGCAAATGGAGCCAGGAAAAGCTAGAGGCAGAATAGGGAACTGATTTCCCGGAGTTTGGCCCCAGAGTCAGTGTGCATAGCCACAGCCAACACCAGCCCCAGAGAGCTCCAGGCGCTGTAGTTCCTGGAAGTGGTGCTCCCGACTGCACTCCTTCCCCGTGCACAGTGGAAAGAACTCTTGTTGGAATGAAGCCAGCTAGTTCCAATAGGGTGTTTCCGCTGTTGTGAGGAGCTGGGCAACTAGTGAGCTCTCTAAGCCTCATTTTGCTCCACTATAAAACCAGGAGAGTGAAGCACAGGAGAGGGTCTGGGTTTCAGAATAAGACGCAGGTTTTCTTCCTGCTCAGCAAATCCTGGGTCATTGTGCCATGTCCCCTACCCCCTTAAACCTCTTAGCCCCAGGGAAGGCTTTCGTGTAGCACGGGAGACAATGCCTGCCCAGCTGTGCCAGGGACATAACTGGGGAGCTGCTGTGATAAGCCGGGGGTGGCCTCTCCCTGGGACAGATCCTATCTCACAGCAGTTTGGAGAACGAGGGGACATGGGCAGAGCAGGACGTGAAGCAGGTTGTGGTTTCCCAAACCCGCAGCAGGCTTAGGAGGGAGCAGTCCCTTGTCTCAGCCTGACGGACCCAGCCTCTCCCACTGCGGACCTAGAGAGCCCAGACCCCAGGGCAGAAAGCGCCCCCCAGGCTGATAAAGCTGAGCAATCCAGGCTTCGCTTCGAGGGCTTTATCCCTGACTTTCCAATTGGCTTTTTATCTGTGTCTTCCTGTCTCTTGAGATGAAGGCCGGGCCGGGCAGCCCCGCTACCCACCACGTGCGGGAATCTGGTGCGGATCCAGTCGGGGCGGGAGAGGGCGCGCGCCAGCCAGGCTAAAGCGCGCGGGACGCCGATCGGGCGCCGGGCGGTTCGGGGCGGTTCGGGCCCGTTCGGGCGGCAGGGCCCGTCGGAGCCTTTCTCCTCGCAGTCTGGCTGGCCGTCTGTCTTCGCGTAGCGGGCGAAGTCGAGATGGGCTCATTAAGGCGGCAGGTAGGCAGTGCCCCGGCGGCGGCGGCAGGCGGTCCTGGAATGTGGAAGGGGCGTGATGACAGCGGCCGCCGGCCTCTTTGCGCAACACCTTCTCCATATATACCCGGGGCGCCGCGCTCCACCTGGCCGCCGCCTCCAGCCCAGCACCTGCGGAGGGAGCGCTGGTGAGTACCGCCGCCGGGGCCTCCTCCTAGCTCTTTCCAGGACTTTGATTCTCTTAGTTCTTGTAAATAACCCTCGATGCTGACCTCAAGGCACTTGGCTGGCTTTGGTCAGCAGAAGTGAAAAAACAAAACAAAACAAAACAAAACAAAACCAAGCAAAACAAAAAGCTTTCCACAATCAATGTTCAAGTTGTTTTCTTCTGTTTTTTTTTTTTTTTTTTTTTTTTTTTTGGAGACGGAGTCCAGTCCCCAGGCTGGAGTGCAGTGGCGCGATCTCGGCTCACTGCAACCTCCGCCTCCCGGGTTCAAGCGATTCTCCTGCCTCAGCCTCCCAAGTAGCTGGGACTACAGGTGCCCGCCACCACGCCGGCTAATTTTTTGTGTTTTAGTAGAGACGGGGTTTCACCATGTTGCCCAGGCTGGCCTTGAACGCCTGAGCTCAGGCAATCCACCTGCCTCTGCCTCCCAAAGTGCTAGGATTACAGGCGTGAATCACCGAGCCCGACCTGTTTTCTTCTTAATGTTACGGTTATTGCTTTCATTACAGCTCTTACTGTTACATTGTTACGATTGACAGTGTTATTAATCAGCCACACTTGCAGATTCTAAAATAATAGCTGTTTTGAGAGTCGTGGTTTGGAAGAGGAAAGGCCCAGGTGATAGAAGGCTCCACTTAGGGATCAGGGTGACTGGGCTGTTTGTGGCGGGGTCACCAACTAGCCATGTGACTTAACGCCAGTCCCCATGAGCCCCTGGGCTGCAGCCTTCCACCCTTTAAAAGAAGAGGAATGAGACATCTCAGGGCCATGAAAATTCTAGGTTTATGGTGGCTGCCTGGTGATGGAACACTCCTCGCCTTGCAAGTGTGACTTACACCTAATGCAGTACTTCTTTGCCGTTATTTAAGGTGACTAGGAGACAGTCTTAGTTTGTTTCTATTGGGGCCCGTGGTGATCAGTAAACGGTCTGTCATTTAGCTGTCTTGGGGAGGAAAGCTCGAAATTTCTGTTTTCCAAGCCGGAGGCAGGTGAGCAGGCTAGAGAGATGACTTACAAGGAGATGTGCACTTGATTGGTTGGGTTCCGGGAATGCGCATCCTCAGGCCAGGAAGTGGGGGCTGCATGGCATGGAGTTAGTTCAGGCTCCCTGGAGCGGCGCCTGCCACCGGTGGCTCGCATGGAGCTGAATAGCGTTGGAATCTTGTTTTCTTTGAGGAGGTCCCTTTCTCAAACATGCTGATTTCATGGAAGCAGCTTGTGGATTTCATCACTCTGAGTCCCCTTTTCCTGTTGAGGGGCACCAGGGGGCTTCTGTGTTAGCCCTGATGGCTCTGGGCCTTGTCGTTCCATCCTTTTTCCTGCTTCCCTTGTGTGATGGCAGTTCCTTAACGTGTCCCGGGTTGGGTATTCTTGTAAAACTGTGTCTGTAGGAGTGGCTGTTGTTTCAGATTATTTAAAAAAAAAAAAATTAAAAAGACTGCATCTTTTGTCCCATGCCAGCTGATCATGATCTTCTCTGCTTTTGTAATTTTGGCAATGGGTGATAAGAAGGGCGTACTTTGTAAAAGATTTGGATGCTAAAGAAATTGCCCCATCCAAAACTCTCCCCAGATTGCTCAACCATCTCACTGCAACAGCCTCCTGTGGTATGAGGATAGGCCTCTGATTGTTGCCGTTAGACACAAAGGAGACATAAAAATAGCCCGAATTCAATGTAATGAGAAAACAGCCTCTCAGAATCAGAGTGCTTTGGAATAAACTGGGCTTTAATAACCCGTTTCAGGCATCTTCCACCCCTCTATCCTCACCCACACCCCCACTTCCATTCTGGGGACAGCGAGGAACAATCAGGACATCCCAGGGAATTTATTCATCTCAGTGAATTTTAAAAATGCAAAGGCACAAAAAGAATGCTGAAAAGATTGCAGTATGTTTAAGATGTTTATGTTTATACTTAATTTAACTGCTTTAAACCCCCCAATACAATGCAGCATAATTGATATAGTTACAAGTTAATTACAGAATTTATTTGACCATATCATAAATACAAATTGAAAATGCATGATGAGGGTGTGGTTTGGTAATACGGTCCAAGTTTAAAGTGATAGAATAAATGTCTTTAAAATTTCATTAGTGTGTCACATCAAAAATGTAAACTGAAGTTATCTGTCGATGTGAGGCCCAGGACAGTTGCTTCCTGGGCTCCTCTCTTCGCTACTACCACTGTGTCCTTGAAGGGATTATTTTTAGCAGTAACGCTTTTTTAGAAACAGGCTCTCGCTATGTTGTCCAAGCTGGTCTGAAACTCACAGGTTCAAGGGTCTCTCCCACACTGGCCTTGCAAAGTGCTGGGATTACAGGTGTGAGCCACCACCCTTAGCCTATAGGGGTGATTATTTTTCCTTGTGATGGCTGTAAGGGAAGCTGAGGAAAAGGAAACATCACCCTCTTGGGAATTTTTGAAGCATGGAGTCATTCTTTGAAAGTACAAGCAGTTTTCCAGTCTGGCTAACATGGTGAAACCCCATCTCTACTAAAAATATAAAAACATTAGCTGAGCGTGGTGGCAAGCACTTATAATCCCGGCTACTCAGGAGGCTGAGGCAGGAGAATCGCTTGAATCCGGAAGGCGGAGGTTGCAGTGAGCCGCGATCCCGCCACTGCACTCCAGCCTGGGCGACAGAGCAAGACTCCATCTCAAAAAAGAAAAAAAAAATACAAGAAAGTTTTCTTGGGCATCCTGAGAACACCGGCCTGCATGAGATTAAATTATTTCTGCAGTGCTGTGGTGCCTATGTGACTTGAAGCAATCGATTTCTTTGTGGCTCAGTTTTTCCCTCTGTAGAATGAGAATAATGTTCATTCTAAAGGAGACTCTAAGTTTACATCAATACATGAAATGCTGGGAGTTAATTTGTGCACCAGTTTGCAAGTGCCAGGCACAAACTGCCTCAGAAACACTGCTGGCTACTGTGTATGCAGCACTGTCCTATGTGCTGGGGCCACGATGGCCATACTCTACCCCCTGTGCTTGTGAAGGCCACCGTCTACTGGGAGACTGTGGGTCTGTGTCCTGGTTTCTCCCAGGATCACTGCCCTGGGCTTCCTTCTCTCCGAGTTTCTTCAGATGTCCTTGACTGTGGCTCTGAGCACACGGGGCCCCAGAACAGGTCTTGGCTGAAGAAGCCCAAACAATGTGATCGTAGGGCTTGGGTGACTGCCAGGTGCCCTACATTCTCCTGCTTCCGAGTCAAGGAAGTTCCTCTCCTGGGCCTTCCAGAAAGAATCCGAGCTCTTTTTGGCAGTGGGTACCCCTGCCGTGCAGGAAGTGGAGCCAAGAGAGTGAGGTACACAGGCAGCTCAGTTATAGAAGCCATCGGGGGCCTCGGGAGAGCAGGTGTGTGGGCACTGGGGGCCTCCTACTCTCCTCCCCGGGCTACAGTAAAAAGCTGCCAACTGATGACTTCTCTCTTCCTCTGCTGCTGCTGGTGGGTGGCAAGAATGTGCTGGAGTGAGGCCTTGGGAAAACTGGGAGAGAACAAGAAGGCAATGGTTGCGCCAGGGCTATGGGGGTGGGAGAAATGCTTCAGAGGGGCTGAGAGCTCCAGGGTACATTCTCTAATACTGAGTATTTAAATACCATTTTAATACTGCTCCGCCTCCTCCTCCCATCAGCCATTGCAGTGTTCTTGGGCGGGCATTTCCAGCATCTGCATGACCACGTGGGAGTGACCTGTAGACAGAGCGATCTATCTAGCCAGCTATCTGAAAACACTCAGAGCCCCCAGTGTGCCTAGACCTAAGGCCCTTGGGTGCCCTGGTGTTTTGATGGGGGCTGGAAGATTCCTCCTCCCTTTGCCCGTGACTGGGAGATCTATGGAAAAGCTTCTGGCGTTGGAGCCAGCAGTCTCGGGTTCAGACCCTGACACCAGCCCCAGGTAGCTGGGGGCAAGCTTCTTTGATTCTCTGTACCTCAGTTTCTTTGTACAGTGAGATGAAAAATTCCTTCTTTGTTAGATTTAATGGGTTCACAAGCTGCACAGGATGCTCCCCTGTCACAAAACAAACATTAGCATCTTTTCCTCACAGGCTTTGGGTTTATTTGTTCAAATATTGACTGAGATCCACGACCATGCTGAGCATTGGAGATGAAGAGCTTATGGTCTGGGGTACGCAGCGGAGGTGCGGCCATTTATTGTTCATGACACAGTGAATTTCCTCATCGTGTCGTGAGCAATAAACAAGAGGGTTCCGAGTGTTTACTCTGCCAGGCACCGAGCTGCAGCCTCACCTGCATGTATTAACCAATTAGTCCTCATAACAGCTCAGTAAGCGAGATGGTCTATTGTGACTGTTTTTGAAAGGATGAAACTGAAGCTCAGAGTGGCTCAGGGCTGCATATAGTGAGGGGCAGGCCTCTGCAGAGCCAGCCCTCGCCCACCGTGTGATTCCCTCCCTTTAGGTGCCACTGAGCCATCTTACCTTTGTGGGCTTAGGGGTTGAGCTGTATCTTTTAAAAGAATTTGGAAATTTGCGAAGAAAATTTAAAAAATCACCCACTGTCTCACCACCCACTTTAACTCCAGAGAACATTTCTGGATCTTGTCTGGCTTGTTGAGATGATGCTGTGAAGGGAAGAGCTAAGTACTTTATATTCCCAGTTTATCTGACGCATTTTCCTGTGGTTTTGCTGATTCAGTGTAACCTTTTTAATGGCATACTCTTACAATGCATGGACGTACCACAGTAGAGTAAGTGCTCTTTTTTTTAATTTTTATTTTTCGGCACTGTAAATGACAGAGCAGCAAATATCTTTTTGGCCTACATCACATTCATTCTGTCATAGATATGCTAGGCAGAGCTCAAGATCTCAAAGATGAAGTGATGAATGAGACAAAGTCCCCTTTTTGGTTGGGTTTGCAGTCTGGTAGGCGGGAAATAGGCCGAAGAGGAAAGGAGTCAGGTGGACTCAGGTTCTAGGAAGCCATCTTGGAAGAGGTGATCAGAGTAAGTCAGGTATTTCTGATTTTCTGAGCAAGGATTCCTAGCTTCCTAATTTCTAGAAGTGAAATGACTGGGTCAAAGATGTATAATAAATGTAAGGCACTTCGGCCATTTTGCCAACTTTTCCAGAGCTTCTAGCAGTGTTCACCTCATAACATCTCCAGCATAGCATAACAAACTTAATTTCTTTCTTTCTTTCTTTTTTTTTTTTTTTTTTTTTTTTTTGCGACTTTGAGAGTTGTCATCACGTTTTAGTTGAAATATATTGGATTTCTTTCTTTTTTTTTTTTTCTTTGAGATGGAGTTTCACTTATTCCCTGGGCTAAAGTGCAATGGTGTGCTCTTGGCTTATCATAACCTCTGCCTCCCAGATTCAAGTGATTCTCCTGCCTCAGCCTCCTGAGTAGCTGAGATAAGAGACATGTGCCACCACGCCTGACTAATTTTGTATTTTTAGTAGAGACAAGGTTTCACCATGTTGTCAAAGCTGGTCTCAAACTCCTGACCTCAGGTGATCTGCCCGCCTCAGCCTCCCAGAGTGCTGGATTACAGGTGTAAGTCACTGTGCCCAGGCTGGATTGCTGCTGCTTCTTCTTTTTTTTTTTTTTTTTTTTTTTTTTTTTTTCTTCTTTTTTTAACAGACATTTTAGCCATTTGTTCCTTTCCTGTGAATTGCTTGTGTCCAGTCCTTTGGACTGCCTTGTCTAATGGACAAGGACTAATTTTCTCTCGTCAAAGAACAAGTACTCCAAGGACTGGAATGTGAGGTGTGTCAGTCCCATGTAACTGAGAAAGGCATTGTGGAGAAAATGGATTGTAAGAAGGTCCTTTTTGAAGGCTGAAGAGAATGTGGTTCTAACAAAGGATGATTAATCCAGGCAGCATGACACAGTAATAATTGCTGCTATTTATTGGAGGCCTCCTCAATGCCAGTCACTTTCTAGACTGTTCTTTCTTTCTTTCTTTTTGTTTTTTGAGATGGAGTTTCGCTCTTACTGCCCAGGCTGGAGTGCAATGGCACAATCTCAGCTCACTGTACCCTCCACCTCCCAGGTTCAAGTAATTCTCCCACCTCAGCCTCCCAGATAGCTGGGACTACAGGCATACACCACCACACCTGGCTAATTTTCGTATTTTTAGTGGAGATGCGGTTTCACCATCTGGTTGGCCAGGCTGGTCTCGAACTCCTGACCTCAGATGATCCACCCGCCTCAGCCTCCCAAAGTGCCTGGGATTCCAGGCATGAGCCACTGCGCCTGGCGCATCCTGCTTTTGACTGATGGAGAAAATCAAAACAAAAACAAGTTTAAGAGATGAAAGGTGGTGCACGCAGCTAACCCAACACTGAGAGGTTGTTTGCTTTAGTGACTGCCTGGTGAGTGTTTGACGGGGAACCACAAAGAAGTGAAATATGGCGCTTAAGATGCCACTCTTGGGGGCCATAAGCAAGAAATCCTTCCCTTCCCTTTACTGCGGAACTCCCCAGCCAGGAGAAGCTTTGTAACCGATAGTTCCTCTTATAGCCACTGGGTGTGCCTCCTTTCCACGACTGCTGCTCTAAGCTGTTCTCTCATGCACAGATCATGGCTCCCTGGCCTGAACTGGGAAATGCGCAGCCCAACCCCAATCAGTACCTTGAAGGGGCTGAAAGTCAGCAGCCCATCACCCCGGATAAAAGCAAAGAGACCGACAAAAGTAAGTGTTACTTGCTTGTTCTCGAAACAGCTTCTCTTGTGAGGAGCCCACGAGACTTGGGTCTGATTCCTCACGACTCCTTTTGCTTGTTTCATCAGATAACACTGGGGCACCTGTAACCAAGGTTGAACTTCTGCCAACGTACTCCACGGCGACACTGTTAGAGGAGGCCACCGAGGGGGACGACCCCTGGAACCTACCTACTCTTCAGGATGCGGGGATCAAGTGGTCAGGTAAAAGTGAGGCTGGCTAGGGCAGGCAGGAGGGGAACTTCCTGTGGTTCACAGTGTCACCATCTTTCTGTCACCCCGTCCCCTCCCCCTTTTCATTGTTCCGATGCCCTTGAAGCAAGGATCCTGGCTACGGATGTCACCCTCCCATCTTTTTCTTTCTTTTTTTGAGATGGAGTCTTGCTCTGTCACCCAGGCTGGACTGCAATGGCGCAATCTCAGCTCACTGCAACCTCCACCTCCTGGGTTCAAGCAATTCTCCGGCCTTAGCCTCCCAAGTAGCTGGGATTACAGGCTAATTTTTGTATTTTTAATAGAGACAGGGTTTCACCATGTTGGCCAGGCTGATCTCGAACTCCTGACCTTATGATCTACCCACCTTGGCCTCCTTCCCTGTTCTGAGATTACAGGCATGAGCCACTGTGTCTGGCCACTGTCCCATCTTTGAAATTGAGTCAAAGCATGTTGGAATAATTGGAGGGTCATTCATTCAACAAATGTGCCAGGCACTGTGGTTATAGCAAAGATGGACATTGTCTGGATCCTTATAATTCACTGTGGGTGAACAGGTTCCAGGTACTGGTTTGGAGGTGCTGTGGATACAGTGATGAATGGAAGAGGTCTCTCTTCTCAGAAGGCTTTCAGAGGGGTCGCCTCACCCAAATGTGGGCATCTGGGAAGGTTTCTAGAAAAACAGAATATGCAGCCAGACAGCTGGGTGCAAGCAATCACTGTTTCATTTCCAAATGTACGTAGGGCAGAAGGTCTGTCTGCAAACTAAACAGCAAGGAAGAAAAAGGAGATTAGGGTGTGGGGTGGGGAGGTGAGGTGGGAAGGAAAGAGCTGGGAGGGGGAAGATGAGAACCGTGATTTCAAAAGCCAGTGGGGTAAACAATAGCTAAGGATGTAGCATCCCAGGATGTATGATGCCCCAAGCCCTCCATAAATTGAGGCTGTGATTGCTGCTGTGCAGCTGCATTCTAGAAAATACTCTGTGCTGTTCAGAACGTGACAGCCATTATCTCCCACTCTGCACTTAGCAGGTGGCGAGTGCTGTTGACTGCCTCACTCTGACACTGTGGCTCAGCTGAGCCGGAGCCTGTTTTGTCTGTTGAAGACTGCATTGAACCCCTCCTCCCAAATGCAAATCCTTTAGAGGCACTTTCCAGGGTTTCAGCTAAAGGGACCACAGTGGTAACTGCTTTGAAAGCTGCAGTGATGGCTGTATCCCATCTGTAAGCCTCACTAGATGTAAGAACTTAACGGCTGCCAGGCTGGGAAGGGAGCGGGGGGGCGGGGAGAGTTCTGAGCTCATTACCAAAGTTTCATGCCTTTCTCTCTGACCCCTACCCCACCCCCCTGCAGAGAGAGACACCAAAGGGAAGATTCTCTGTGTCTTCCAAGGGATTGGGAAACTGATTTTGCTTCTCGGATTTCTCTACTTTTTCGTGTGCTCCCTGGATGTTCTTAGCAGCGCCTTCCAGCTAGTTGGAGGTAAGAATGAAAGGCTAACAACTCAGCCAGCCCTCTCCAGCTGCAGCCTCCTGGAGTGTTTTAGGACTGGAACTCAGATCACTTGTGAAGTCTATGCTTTCCATTATAGAAGAGAACACTGAACCCTATACAAAGGGCTGTGACTTGGCTCAGGTGGCTTAGGCCAGGAGCCGGGGCTGGAGGCTATTCCAAGCTATCAGCCACTTGAGTTTGTCCACAAACCCCAGGCAGGAAATTGTTTGACACAGACTTAGCTGAGGAATTCCTACTATCTTGCCCACCAGAGAGAATTCTGGAATACAAAAGAGGGCCCTTTGAAAGCTGGGCCCTTGCTGGGGGAAGGACAGGGCCCCTTCTCTGGGCTGGAGGGATCTGTATCCATTGCAGTTACCTACACAGTTCTCGGAGCTGTGTGTGCCCATGGAGCATGGGAACCCAGAAGTGAAGTCGCCATGTGCTTGGTTACTCTTGCACCTCAGTGGTGACGTCAGTCACAGGCAGAACTCTGAGTGCCCACTGGGTGCAGGCATTTTCAAAGGCTCTCTATCAAACATTCTTTCCCAAAGTCCTCCCATTTACGGAGAGATCACAAACCAGCCCTGAGATTCACAGCCTATAATTAGCAAAGTAAGATTCAATCTCAGATCTGGGTGGTGCAGAGGACCATGGATTTCTGCAACCCTTGCTGCCTCTCTTGGGAACTGAGCTTTGTGTCCTTGGAGAGCTGGGGAGGTGGGCATTCATGGGAGAGCACGAGGGACATACTGACTTCCTGAACATTGCTTCTGGGCTCCCTGGTCTGTGGCAGCATCGGCTAGGGCCTTTGCTGTCCGGTTATCTCAAACAAGTCACCTGCATCCTCTGGGCTTCCATCTTCTTTATACAGTGGACTAGGGAATGGATTGATGGTCTCAGGCACACTCTTGAGAATAACTCTCCCAGCATTCAGTTAAGGCTGGTGCTGGGGCTAAGCGTGGGTAGAGGAGAAGATCCACTCTTGGAGGATACATGTGAATTGAGGATACACCCCAGAGACATCCACGAGGCTCACTGGCACCCACTGGTCCCAATACAGAGCTGAGGCCGGGTTCCTGAGCAGAGAAGGGCTTGCTGACTGAGGGAGTGGTTGAAGAGTGGAAGGATGGAGGGTGAAGGAACAAGAGTAATCAGAGGCTCACAGTGGGTGGGGAAGTAGGGCAGAGAGACAGGGACCGGAGGCACACGTGGGCAGCCAGCGGGTTTCCTACCTTATCGGGGCAGCACTGGGAAGAGGCATGGGGAAGCAGGATTCCCTGGGTTCCCTCAGGGATGGGGGCTGGAGGCTGGACTTTCCAACCCACTGCCAGCTGGCCTTGGATGGAGACTTCTGTGTACCCAGTGCCCACCTAATCTCCCTGATCACGTGTATGTGTGTGTGTGTTTTTTTTTTTTTTTCAGGAAAAATGGCAGGACGGTTCTTCAGTAACAGCTCTATTATGTCCAACCCTGTGTTGGGGCTGGTAATCGGGGTGCTGGTGACTGTCTTGGTGCAAAGCTCCAGCACCTCAACCTCCATTGTCGTCAGCATGGTGGCCTCGTCATGTGAGTCGGGCCCCCACAAGCCCAGCTGCATTGTGGACACTCTCCTGTCTATGGGGGGGTGGGGGACAGGAATTCACTCTGAATATGCCCAGGCCTGGTCACCATTGTCTTCCCAGCTACCATGTGTTCCCCTCTTCATCCAAGGCAGCTTCCTGTTTCCATTTCTACGGCAGGATCTGGAAACGGACCCTGCTGCTGGAGTTCAGCGCTGAATTCTTTTTTTTTTTTTTTTTTTTTTGAGATGGAGTTTCGCTCTTGTTACCCAGGCTGGAGTGCAATGGCACAATCTCGGCTCACCGCAACCTCCGCCTCCTGGGTTCAGGCAATTCTCCTGCCTCAGCCTCCTGAGTAGCTGGGATTACAGGCACATGCCACCATGCCCAGCTAATTTTTCGTATTTTTAGTAGAGACGGGGTTTCACCATGTTGACCAGGATGGTCTCAATCTCTTGACCTTGTGATCCACCCGCCTCAGCCTCCCAAAGTGCTGGGATTACAGGCTTGAGCCACCGTGCCCAGCCTCAGTGCTGAATTCTCTAGGACTGTGCTTTCCAGACCTGTGGCCACTGGCCACATGTGACAACTTAATTTCATTGAACCTTAACTGATTTAAAGTTAAAATATAACATTCAGTTCCTCAGTTGTACTAGTTACATTTCAAGTATTGAAGAGCCACAGGTGGCTGGCAGCTACCCTATTGAGCAGTAGAGACATAGAACATTTCCATCACTGTAGAAAGTTAGTTCTCTGGGACAGGGCAACTTGGTGCTAAGAATAAAGGCAACTAATCACATCACAAATTGCTCTGGGACAACTGAGCTTGGGGAAGTGACACTCTAAGCTTGTACCTGCCTGAGAATTGCTCTAGCAAGGTTGGACAGACCCTCTGAAGGGGACCAGTTTGAACTGATTGTTACTATTTTCAAATAGAGACATGGGTCCCGCTATGTTGCCGAGGCTGGTCTCAAACTCCTGGGCTCAAGTGATTCTCCTGCCTCAGCCTCCCAAAGTGCTGGGATTACAGGCATGAGCCACTGTTCCTGGCCAAAACTATTTTTCTTCCCAAGCCAGCACCTTAGCCAGAATTAACTACAATGTTTCTGGGTCCAGTTGGAAGAAGGTATTACATATTCAAAATATTTTACTTGTATATGTCAAAAAAAGTACAGCAATATGCTGATTCTGTTTGAAAAAGTCACAATGCCTGGAATTAACCGTGTGATATCTCTCAGAGAAATGATGCTTCCTGGCTGGGTGCAGTGGTTCATGTGTGTAATCCCAGCACTTTGGGAGGTTGAGGCGGTGGATCATTTGAGGTCAAGAGTTCGAGACCAGCCTAACCAACATGGTGAAACCCTGTCTCTACTAAAAATACAAAAATTAGCTGGACATGGTGGTGCATGCCTCCCATCTCAGCTATTCAAGAGGCTGAGGCAGGAGAATCGCTTGAACCCAGGAGGTAGAGGTTGTGGTGAGCCAAGATCGCACCACTGCACTCCAGCATGGGCAACAGAGCGAGATCTGTCTCAAAAATAAAAAAAAAGAAGTGATGCTTTCTCAAAGGTGAGCCTTTGTGCCATGCACAACTGACTCAACTGTACATGCAAGCCCTGGAACTCCTCCACCTAAGTCCTTCATCGCTGGCTGCCTCCTGGTCTCCTTCAGGCTAGCTTTGGATCTGCAACAGGGAGGAGGGAGGAATCTAGAAAGGCACTTTCATCAGATTTATAGTGAAATGCATGACCCCACAGAGGATAAGAGCTACTGCTCTAGAGGACATCAGCATGAGTGACGTTAGCCTGCCTCCAGGCTGCCTTTCTAAGCTCACTGATGGCTCTTTTCCATCCCCCAGTGCTCACCGTTCGGGCTGCCATCCCCATTGTCATGGGAGCCAACATTGGAACGTCAATCACCAACACGATCGTTGCGCTTATGCAGGCGGGAGACCGGAGTGAGTTCAGAAGGTAAGAGGCTCAAAACCAGCCCTTGCAACATCAGCTGTATTGTTGTAGGCCACGCTGTTGTACTTACTTTTAACCAGTCGGAGATGACCTGCTTATCAGGTTCATTCCTGGAGTTCCTAGAAGTAACCACAGGAAAGGTAGAGCTAGGGTTGGATCATGTAGCCAGGATAGGTAGCTCCCTGATCTGCAGGGCAGGGATAATACCATCCAGCACCACTGTGTTGTCATGGGATTGAGTACGATCTAGTAGGTATGTGTTTAGAGCACCCATTACATCGAGTTCACTAAATAAATGCAAGCTGTAGCCAGAAATGTACGCTGGGTGGTGGAATTGAAACAAGGCCAACTAGGAGAGTAGGATTTATTGGGGCCAGGAATGGTGGCTCATGCCTGTAATTCCAGCTCTTTGGGAGACTGAAGCCGGTAGCTTGCCTGAGGTCAGGAGCCTGGCCAACATGGTGATACCCCATCTCTACTAAAAAGACACAAAATTGTCAGGCGTGGTAGCAAGTGCCTGTAATCCTAGCTACTTGGGAAGCTGAGGCAGGAGAATCGCTTGAACCCGGGAGACAGAGTTTGCAGTGAGTCGCGATCATACCACTGTCCTCCAGCCTGGCTGATAGAGTGAGACCCTATCTCGAATAATAATAATATAATAATAAAAGTATTGTTTGGTCATAATTATAACTTATGAAAACTGCCACTGTCGGTCAGTTCAACCGTTGCCACTTTTTCATTGTTCTTCACCTACATGTCAATAAAAAGCAAATCTGTGTATGCATAAAATCCAAAAATAGAGTAGGTAGAATATTAGAAACTTTTTTTTTCAAAAATGTTAATGTGAAAATTAAATGTTTCTCAGCCTCTAGCTGTTTTTTTTTTTTTTTTTTTTCCTCTTTTATTTTTTAAGGGAAGCTTTTTCATTAATGATAAAAAAAATCCAGAACAGAGTTTTTTCAATCTGGAGATAAGATGGAATCAAGGAGGAATCTTTGAACCTCCTCAGATGGATGCAAAATGTAATATACTTTAGCCTTGTGTCCTGTGGAAAATATTCATGTTTCATCACTTTCAAGAAAAAGATTAAGAATTCACGTGCATAGAGGTCTTTTTAAGTGGAAAATTTTTTTATTATACTTTAAGTTTTGGGGTATATGTGCAGTTAAATTTTTTTATTGATACAAAATGGTTTTATACCTTTATGAGGTACATGTGATATTTTGTTATATTATTTGTTGATTACATGTTATACGTATGATATATTTGTTACATGCATAGAATGTGTAGTGATCAAATCAGCGTATTTGAGGTGCCCATCACTTTGAGTATTTATCATTTCTATGTGTTGGGAACAATTGAAAACTCAGCATGGAGGGCTTTGTTTGCCTTCATACTGGTCCCCACATTTCCTTAAGAAGGTTGCCTTCAATATACATGATAGAAAAGTGGCTTTGATGCAATCCTTCCCAACGGTGAGAGCTGGGCTAATTATTCCAACCCTAACGTCCTTGCTGGCCCGCAGTATCCTCATCTGGCCAGTGGGAATATAGATACAGCCACTTTGGGGATTGCTATGAGAGAACAAAGATGAAACTGTATACATGTGCACACTTCCACAGGTGACACCTAGCAGAGGGTGGCAGATGATTCAGGTCATGACCCACCCCTCATGGTGCCTTCTTGCTTAGTAACTTAGCTGTCGGGGCTCCCCTTCTGTAGAGCTTTTGCAGGAGCCACCGTCCACGACTTCTTCAACTGGCTCTCCGTGTTGGTGCTCTTGCCCGTGGAGATTGCCACCCATTACCTTGAGGTCATAACCCAGCTTGTGGTGGACAGCTTTCACTTCAAGAATGGAGAAGACGCCCCAGACCTTCTGAAAGTCATCACTAAGCCCTTCACAAAGCTCATTGTCCAGGTAACTCGCCTCCTTCAGAGAAAGAGACAAAATTCCTCCCCACACCATCCCCCACCTAAGCTGGCAGCTATAGCCGAGGGTCTACAACACAATTCTGGGCCGGGGACAGTGGGTAACCCTTGTTTTCCCAGCACTTTGGGAGGCCAAGGTGGGTGGATTGCTTGAGGTCAGGAATTTGAGACCAGCCTGACCAACATGGAGAAACCCCATCTCTACTTAAATGCAAAACATTACTTGGGCATGGTGGCACACACCTGTAGTCCCAGCTACGTGGGGGGCTGAGGCAGGAGGATAGCTTGAACCCCAGGAGGTGGAGGCTGCCGTGAGCTGAGAATTGCACCACTGCACTCTAGCCTGGGTGACAAAGTGAGACTCTGTTTTGAATAAATAAATGGGCCGGGAGCAATGGCTCACACCTGTAATCCCAGCACTTTGGGAGGCCGAGGCGGGCAGATCACCTGAGGTCAGGAGTTTGAGACCAGCCTGACCAACATGGAGACACCCCATCTCTACTAAAAATACAAAAATTAGCTGTGCCTGGTGGTACATGCCTGTAATCCCAGCTACTCAGGAGGCTGAGGCAGGAGAATAGCTGAAACTCAAGAGGCGGAGATTGTGGTGAGCCCAGATAGCTGCCACTGATCTTCAGCCTGGGCAACAAGAGTGAAACGCCATCTCGAAAAAAAGAAGAAGAAGAAAGACTATTCTGTAGCTGCCTCTGGAAAAGGCCAAGAGAGGCAGGACTTTAGGGCCACCTGATAGAGTGACTGACCGACCGTGATGGTTACTCTGACTTCCGTGGACCGCCCCCTTGACTGCAGTGGAGGCGCTTCTTCAGGCTGCACACCTTAGCCCATTTTTGTACCGCTGCTGCCCTCAATACCAGTGGACTTGATAAAGTATGATCTACCCTTTCCTGCCTGGAGCCTTCTCACCCCCTGCTCCCTGGGTCCTTGCTAGGACCTTGTATTTTACTGGTTTTCTTGGTCATTCAGTCATCCAGAAAATATCTGCTGTCTGCTCCCTAGATATCCATGCCTTTGCCGATAGAGTGAGTTTCGCTTTGCCTCCCTGAGGGCTTACAGTCACCTGGATCTCCTCAGAGTTCCTCTCACTGCAACCTCCTCGGTTTGTGCCCTAAATTGCTTCTGCAAATATGCTGATGGTCTCCTGTCTGTTGCTTTCCACAGCTGGATAAAAAAGTTATCAGCCAAATTGCAATGAGCGATGCAACAGCGAAAAACAAGAGTCTCATCAAGATTTGGTGCAAAACTTTTACCAACAAGGTATGTTTCCAAGAATATTCCCGGGCGGGTGAACCTTGCGTCTGAATGTTAAACCAAATCTTGCATTCAAGACGGGTAAATAAAAAGTCAGGGGAAAGAAATATTGGGAGCCCCTGAAAAATCAAAAGTGACCAGTGAATGCCTGTAGAAAACAAGTCCATGAATGAATGCTGAGTGCAGGTCAGCAGTAGGACATACAGACTCCCCTTTGCCTCACCCCTGGGATACAGTATTCTCAGTTTGCTAATTTCTCTGTCTCTAGGAGAAGGCTGTGTCTCTGTTCTCATTTTTGGAGGGACTCATGGAAATAGTCCAGCCCTCCCTATAGCTGTTGGCAGCAAGTGGCCTCTCTCTCACTTTGCAGACTCTTCCAGAGTATTCCCTCTGCTCGGGCCCAGAGCATTCATGCCCTATGTCAGGAACCTACCCAGCCTGCTTTGCACCTGGGTTGTGCCTTGCCCTTGCTTCTGGGGGTGTACATGTGTTTTGTTGTTGTTGTTGTTTGTGGGGTGCTGAAGACTGGAGACTAAAACACACAAACTAAATTTTTTTTTTTTTGATATGGGGTCTTGCTCTGTTGCCCAGGCTGGAGTGCAGTAGAACAGTCTTGGCTCACTGCAACTTCCACCTCCCAGGCTCAAGTGATTCTCCTGCCTCCACCTCCTGAATAGCTGGGATTACAGGCACCTGCCACCACGCCCAGCTAATATTTGTATTTTTATTAGGGTCAGGATTTCACCATGTTGGTCAGGCTGGTCTCGAACTCCTGACCTCAGGTGATTGGCCCGCCTTAGCCTCCCAAAGTGCTGGGATTGCAGACGTCAGCCACTGAGCCCGGCCATCAAACTAGATGTTTTTAAGTGGTGAAGGCTGACTTTAGTTGGCCTCAGTTGTTCTAAGAGATTTCTAATAAAGGTGAGAAATAAGTCCTTGAGAGAAGAGAATTGTACTGTTGGGGCCACACTGCACGCACCTGTGTGGTGTCTGCCCCTGTTCATCCCCACTCCCGCCATCGCTTGCCACTCCCCACTAACAGCTAGTGTCACGCGCGTTTGTCATGTTTCTCATCCAGACCCAGATGAACGTCACTGTTCCCTCGACTGCTGACTGCACCTCCCCTTCCCTCTGTTGGACGGAAGGCATCCAAACCTGGACCTTGAAGAACGTGACCTACAAGGAGAACATCGCCAAATGTGAGTGGAGCTCCGTGGATTGGCCACTGTGACAGGAGTTGTCTGGGGTGACATGTTTATCTGTGTGAAGCCCCAGTAAGTGAAGGAAAAGACAGGAGTCACCAAGCACCTCCCCTACATCAAGCAGTGAGCACATGCCTCCACAGCAGAGGAAACTATGGCTTAGGAACTGAGGTGACAGGCCCAAGGTCCCCACAGCAAGGGGCAGAACTGGGACATGAAACCCATTTCCTCTGCCAGCTCCGTACCACCTCAGAAAAGCTCAACAGATTCTAGAGGGCTCCCTCTACACGCTTTGTTCGGCCTCTCTTAGTCAGTAACTCTAGAGGCCAGGCTTGGTGGCTCATACCTATCATCCCAGCACTTTGGGGAGGCCAAGGTGGGCCCATCCCATGAGGCCAGGAGTTCGAGACCAGTCTGGCCAACATGGTGAAACCCTGTTTCTACAAAAATAATACAAAAAAAAAAAAAATTAGCCAGGCATGGTGGCACAGGCCTGTAATCCCAGCTACTTGAGACACCAAGGGAGGATAATGGTTTGAACCCCAGGAGGCAGAGTTTGCAGTAAGCCACCATGGCACTCCAGCCTGGGCAACAGAGCAAGACAGTGTCGCAAAGTAAAATAATTTTAGGGAGACAAAAGGTAGATTTGAAGGAAGATGTGGGACCCACATAGAACAGATGTATTCATTCATTAGTTCCTTCTGTACAGCAGGGTCCATTCAGGGCACTGGAGCTGTAGCACTTGAACAAGGCCATGAGCCTGCATCATGCTCTGATTATTAAGAAGCTGTAATGTTTTTCCGACCCAGCCATCCTTAGTTGTTCATTACTCCTTACTTTTACTTTTGTATATCTCTGCTTCTCTCTTCCTACACCCCAACCTGACATTAATTCTGAGCAGTATAACTTAATATTCTAGGTACGGTCACCCCAAAGAATTAAATTAACTTACCACCTCCAACATTCTAGACACTATACATTCATTGATATAACCATATTTTGTTGGAATTATCTGGAGGATGCAGAAGGGTCTTTACAACTAGCAATGCCCCCTACTTTCGCTTGCCCATCGAACCCCTCAAAGCACACTTATCATTAGTAAAAAAATTAGACCAACAGCATGGTCCTTACACATAGAGCTGGGCTGGGTCTGCCCCTGAGTAGTTGTGCGATTTTTAAAGCCATCACTTCATCTTCCAGCCTCATGTGATCCCACTGATGATGTCTCAGTGGTGCCCTTCTCTGCAAAGGAGGTTGAGAAGGACCGTCTCGGTTTTGGGATGCCATGCATCAAACTAACAATGAGGAGTCTACTCATAGCAGAGACAGGATCTGGGGGAATAAAAAACAATCTGTAGCCGTGGTGGCTGCATGCCTGCCTGATGAGGTTCTCCGTGGTCTTTTTAGGCCAGCATATCTTTGTGAATTTCCACCTTCCGGATGTTGCTGTGGGCGTCATCCTGCTCGTCATCTCCCTGGTGGTCCTCTGTGGTTGCCTGATCATGATTGTCAAGATTCTGGGCTCTGTGCTCAAGGGGCAGGTGGCCACTGTCATCAAGAAGACCATCAATACTGGTGGGTACGCTGCCCTCACTTGCGGGCCTTGAGGGACGGTGTCATCATGCCCACTGCCTGGGGTGTGGGGGTCCTTTAAATTCCCATCTAGCAATGGCCTCTGCATGACATGGAGTTTCTCTCTCAGATTGGATCAGCAGCAGAAGTGAGGATGTCATTCACCTGGAAATGTTCTTGGTGTCCTGGGTGGGGTCTAGGGAACAGGCCCAAGCCTTGCATGTTGGCAAGGTCCTGAGAGGGAGCTCATATCTGGAGAGCCATGAGCCAGACCTTTTTTCCTAGGAGGTTTCCTTTATGCTCAGGACTTTACTGGGTCTGTCAAGACCCCTTAGAAAAAGGGCCCCACGAGTCCACCCTCACCCCCACCTCCCTTCACTGTTGTGAAGGAAATGTGACACATAAATACGTCGGCATCCAGAGGTAGCCAATGAAACTGCTGGCCGAGAGGATTTCCTGCCAAGTAGGGTGTCTTGGCCAATGAGAGCTCGCTAAGCCAATGACATCATCACTCCATGAAAGCTCAGTGAAATACAACCAAGAAAATTTGTCCCCCACCCTAGGCTGTCTTGGGGAAACAGCAACTCTGGGTGCTTCTGGGAAATACAGGAACTGATCTAGCGCTGGTGGGGTGGAGGACTCAGTTGACAGGCACGTTCCAAGCTGCTGCGTTTTCTTAGTGCACCTTCAGGTGGAGATGAAGGTTGAAGGTTGAACGTGGGTGGTGATGGGAGACCAGGGCAGGAGAGGAAGTATGCTCTCAGCACTTTCTGGAAGGAGAGTGGTTATCTGGACAGGGTGGGTTCACTCCTAACCTGAACTCCAGGGAATCTGTGTTTTTGTTTTGGTAACACTCATCTGCATCCTTGGTTTTTCCATCTGAATATGCAGAGTAAAAGACAGTGGGAAATGAAACTGGATTCTAAAACTACTCTGCAATCTGAGACCCCCATATGTGGGATGAGGAGGTGCCTGTCCAACCTCACCCCTAGGTCCAGCCCCTGCCCCGGGCTGCCAGCCGTACCTTCCGTAGAGAGGCTGTGACATCTCTTCCTTCTGTCTTCCAGATTTCCCCTTTCCCTTTGCGTGGTTGACTGGCTACCTGGCCATCCTCGTTGGGGCAGGCATGACCTTCATCGTGCAGAGCAGCTCTGTGTTCACGTCGGCCTTGACCCCTCTGATTGGTGAGTTACTCCCCGGCTTCTCCCTCTGGCCACCACTGCCATTTCCTGTCATCCCATAGGCCTGATGTGTTTGTGCATTGTGTCCCACCCCAGGAATCGGCGTGATAACCATTGAGAGGGCTTATCCACTCACGCTGGGTTCCAACATCGGCACCACCACCACCGCCATCCTGGCCGCCTTAGCCAGCCCAGGCAGCTCGATAAAGAGTTCACTCCAGGTTTGAACATGGGGCATGGGCGCAGGGGCGCTGGGGGCTGGACCTCCCATGGTCTTGCAAATTGGTCTCTAACAAGAGCCAGGCTTTTCTCTGTGCTCCCCGCAAAATGGAACTAATATGTGGAAGGGAAGCCATGGGGAAAGTTTTGAGGACCTTGATAGGAGAACAATCAAAATAGTCCTGAGAGAGGCAGTAAGACCCCCATAATTGGTGGCTGTTTCAGCAAAGGTTTGGTGGCCCCTTGATGTAGCTGGGGAAAGAGTACTTAGGAAGCACAGACGCCATCTCCCATCTCCTCACTCACTGCCCCCTCTGGGAAACTCCCCAGTTAGGAGACCTCCCTGGCATGGACCATCTAGGTTACCTGGTGCAAGACCTTTGGGATTTGAATTCTTATCTCACCATTTACATACCAAGTGACCTTTGGCAAGTAGTCTGACCTGAGCGTCCATTCCCTCATCTGAAAGATGGAGAACAGAATCCCTATTTCATTAGGATTATTATAAGGATCTGATAAGGCAAAGCCATCTGTGCAACAGAAATATAAATTCAGGCCAGGCGCGGTGGCTCAAGCCTGTAATCCCAGCACGTTGGGAGGCTGAGGCGGGTGGATCACCAGGTCAAGAGATTGAGACCATCCTGGTCAACATGGTGAAACCGTCTCTACTATAAATACAAAAAAAAAAAAAAAAAAAAAAAAAAAAAGAAAAGAAAAAGAAATGTAAATTCAAGCATGTAATATAAATTAACTGCACATGTCATCCTAAAATTTTTTAGTAGGTACATTTTAAAAAGTGGAAACATTCATTTTTCAATAATGTGTTTGATTTAAACCATTATCACTTTAATATGTTATCAGTCTGTCAAACATTGAGATATTTGGCATTCTTTTCTGGAACTAAGTCTTTGCAATATAGTGTGTATTTCATACTTGAAGCGCATCTCTGTGTGGACGTGTGGCTAGTGTATCAGACGGCTGGTCCACAGCCTGGTGTGGTACTTGGCACCAGCCTTGGGAAAGTGACCAAGCGCCTGGCCTCTGGAGCCAGGCTTATGGGATGTGCATTTCCACCTCTTCCATCTCCCACCTGTCGATTTGGGGAGCATAACCTCATGATGCCTCCATGTCAAGGAAAAATGCCACTCTGTAGGGTGTTTTTTTGTTTTGTTTGTTTGTTTGTTTTTTAAAGACGGGGTTTCACCATGTTGGTCAGGCTGGTCTTGAACTCCCAACCTCAGGTGATCCGCCTGGCTTGGTCTCCAAAGTGCTTGGATTACAGGCGTGAGCCACCACGCCCGGCCAGTAGGGTGTTTTCTGAGGATTGAAAGAATGCACCACTGTGGGCCCCTGGCCCTCCCAGACACCTAGTAGGTCTTCATGGAATCCAGGTACCCTCTGGGCTGAGCCATAAAGACAGGGAAGGCCTGGAAGGCCCGTGACCATGCTGACTGTGATGCCTCCTAGCTGACCTCCCCCTGCCCTTCTCTCTCACCCGAACGGCCCCCACTGGGCAAGAGACCCCTCACCTGTCCAACCTCTTGTGTTGCAGATTGCCCTGTGCCACTTTTTCTTCAACATCTCCGGCATCTTACTGTGGTACCCGATCCCGTTCACTCGCCTGCCCATCCGCATGGCCAAGAGGCTGGGCAACATCTCTGCTAAGTATCGCTGGTTCGCAGTCTTCTACCTGATCGTCTTCTTCTTCCTGATCCCGCTGACGGTGTTCGGCCTCTCGCTGGCCGGCTGGCCGGTGCTGGTGGGCGTCGGCGTGCCCGTCCTCTTGATCATTATCCTGGTACTGTGCCTTCGCCTGCTGCAGTCCCGCTGCCCACGCATCCTGCCCAAGATACTCCAGAACTGGAACTGCCTGCCGCTGTGGATGCGCTCGCTGAAGCCCTGGGACGCCGTGGTCTCCAAGCTGACCGGCTGCTTCCAGCTGCGCTGTTGCTGCTGCTGCCGCGTGTGCTGCCGCCTGTGCTGCCTGCTATGTGGCTGCAAGTGCTGCCGCTGCAGCAGGTGCTGCGAGGACTTGGAGGAGGGGCAGGAGGCGCAGGGCGTCCCTGTCAAGGCCCCTGAGACCTTTGACAACATAACCATTAGCAGAGAGGCGCAGGGTGCGGTCCCTGCCCCGGACCTAAAGACCGAATGCACGGCCTTGTAGGGGGCCGCCCGGGTGCCGGAGGCGGGGGGAGGGACCTTGAGTCCTGCGTGCTCTCCTCCCTCCCACTTTCACCACCTCAAGGAGATTTGTTTCAAATTAGCGAATGAAATTGATGCACTCCTACATAACTCAATTCCCTGTGGCTTGGATAGGCCTACAGGGCAGTTTGATTCCAACCCCTGGAGACTCAGTAGTCTCTTACTCCAGGAAGACACAGGACGATGCCTAAAGAGAATCAGAGAATGAACGTGGCTGGAAAGATGGCTAATCCTGCACGTAGCTGGGTTGGTCAGTAGAACCTATTTTCAGACTCCTAGACCATCTTCAGAAGGAAAAGGCCCAGGGAAGGAATGTATGGGAGGCTCCCCCAGATGGGGAAGTGTATTCTCTATGACTATGGAGCTCAGGCCTCTTTTTTTTTTTTTTTTTTAAACCAAAGTCTGGCGACCGAGAGCAGCAACCTCATGGCCTCCTTGCCCCAGATCAGCCCCAGGGAGCATCTGCTCTGCTAATGGTTATGTTGTCCGAGGGTCAGGGGACAAAGCGTCATTATTTGGAAACTGAAGGTCACAAATGTGGGTCCATCCCACTTCCTAGTGCTCCCACATTTCCGATCAGGGTTTCCTTACCTGGACAGGTGTGCTTGTCCAAGCAGTTCACCCACAGTGTCCTTGTCCTCATGCTTCAGGGATGGGAGCCACTCCTGAACTACAGAGAGTTCAGGCTGGATACACGTGCCCAGCTGCTGCTCTTGTCTTAGGAGACAGAGAGAATGGGGCAGATGGAGGAGAAGAGAAGGGGAATGGGTAGCTTGGCATTCAGGGGATGTGGTGGATCTGCCAAAAGGGCCCCAGGTTCTGAATTTAGCAAACTTAGAAGCCAAATTAAAACGCATTGTGGCTAAAGACTAATGCTCCTCTCTTGGTCAGACAACAAAAACCCTCCCTGTTGGATCTTTTGAAATAAAACATGCAAATTCTCCAGCCTGCATGCTGCCACCTTGAATCCCAGGGATTATCTGTGTCTGGAATAGCTCTTCACCTCTCTCAGCCTCCTCACTTTCTGTGCAGGATGACTTCCTGGGTTAACTTCCTTCTTTCCATCCATCCACCCACTGGAATCTCTTTCCAAACATTTTTCCATTTTCCCATAGACGGGCTTTGATTACCTGCCCTCTCCATGCCCGCAAAGCTCCAGACTTTTCTCAGGGCGCAGAATTCGGCACCCAGTTGGACTGCCCGGTGAAGCAGGATCATTGAGTACAGTCGAGCGCACGTGTGTCTGGGTCAAAGGGGTGCGCTCCTTCTCATCCTAGATGCCTTCTCTGCCTTCCACAGCCCCTTCCTATTACATCACTGCCCCCCACCCACCCCCAACCATCCTAGTTCTTCCTGGCCAATGAGCTCCAGCCTTATCTAGGAAAGGGGGAGTAGGGGAAGCCAGGTGGCAAGGTTGGGTGCTCCCCCATCCCAGCTTCTCCACCATCCCAGCAGGTCAGGATATCAGACAGTCCTCCCCTGACCTTCACCCTCTGTAGCAATTCCCCAACAGAGTCAAATTCTCTGTTTATAGTCACAGCCCTGTACAGCATTTTTCATAAGTTATATAGTAAATGGTCTGGATGATTTTGTGCTTCTAGTGCTCTCATTTGGAAATGAGGCAGGGTTCTTCTATGAAATGGGAAGAAAGAAACCACTTTGTATATTTTGTAATATCACCTCTGTGGCCATGCCTGCCCGCACACTCTGTACATATGTAAGTTAAACCTGGGCAGGGGCTGTGGCCTTTTTGTATTCTGGTGATTTTTAAAAATTGGATCTTTGTACTTGCATTGATTGTATAATTTTGAGACCAGATCTTGTTGTATTGCTCAGGCTGGTGTCAAACTCCTGGGTTCAGGAAATCTGCCCACCTCAGTCTCCCCAAGTGGTGAGATTACAGGCATGAGACACCACATCAGGCCTGATTTTTTTGTTTTTTTTTGTTTTTTTTACTGGTTGTGGAAAGGGAGAAATAAAATCATCAAACTCAAAGGCGTGTGTTGTTTTTAATTACAGGGAAATAGGGACCTCGTTGGATCTGTTTTATGCAAATGTGAGTTCTCTTCCCTCACCAGACATCACTACCCACCACTTAGCATCTGACCCTGCAGCTGCATCATTTGTGGGGCCTCTTGTTCAAAAACCTGGGAAGAAGTGTCATTATGGACACTAAAAAGACAAAATTTCACTTTCTGTTATAGTCTCTCTTGAGTCGCCTTGGAAATTTGCTATTAAATACCATTCCAAGTAAAAAGTTGAGATTTAAATTCTTAGCATGAATTTCACATTTCATCTTTACATTGCGCAGTGCTGATTTCAGAAGCAAACATAAGGCCTATTAACTCGTCTGTGGAATCATTGACATGACAGCTCTTATTTGTAGCTCACGCATGTATTTTATTCCTATGAGAACAGGGAGAGCATTGCACAAAACTAGCTCAATTATTTTGATTTCACTTTTTTTTTTTTTTAACAGAGTGAGATACTGTGTTACTCTGTCACCCAGGCTATAGTGCAGTGGTGCAATCTCTGCTCACTGCAACCTCTGCCTCTCAGGTTCAAGCGATTCTCCTGCCTCAGCCTCCCGAGTAGCTGTGATTACAGATGCACACTGCCACATCCAGCTAATATTTGTATTTTTGATAGAAACGGGCTTTCACCATGTTGGCCAGGCTGGGCTTGAACTCCTGACTTCAGGGGATCCACCTGCCTCAGCCTCCCAAAGTGCTGGGATTACAGGCGTGAGCCACCGTGCCTGGTCTGATTTCATATTTTGTGCACATTCTGCCAATGCTCTCTGCCTTCCTGATGGGTAAGGAAGAACTGAAAGGAAAAAGCAGTGGGCCACCCTTTCCATATTAGCATTTTTCAGCCTAAGTAGTTGGCTACTAGAAGGAAGTGACATGAGTAAGAAAAAATACGATGGGATTTCTTAGTTGTTCCTTGCTTGTTTGCTTGGAGTGCCATTACCTTTTGCTGCATTCAGAGAAAGTTCTGCTTTGAATAAAAGGTATGGTCTTTCATTGCTGATCGTTCTGTCAATCACCTGTGCTAGTCAAAATAACAACGTGTTGTCCAGGTGTGGTGGCTTACACCTGTAATCCCAGCACTTTGGGAGAGAGGCTGAGGTAGGCAGATCACTTGAGTTCGGAAGTTTGGGACCAGCCTGGCCAGCATGGTGAAACCGCGTCTCTACTAAAAATACAAAACTATCTGGGTGTGGTGGCAGGTGCCTGTAATTCCAGCTACTCAGGAGGCTGAGGCAGGAGAAACACTTGAACCAGAAAGGTGGAGGTTACAGTGAGCACTGCACTCCAGACTGGACAAAAAGAGTGAAACTCTGTCTCGAAAATAAATAATGTGTTAAGGAAGAGTTGACTTTAAGAAAGGTTTGCACCAGGTACAGTGGCTCATGCCTGTAATCCCAGCACTTTGGGAGGCCGAGGCGGGCGGATCACGCGGTCAGGAGATTGAGACCATCCTGGTTAACACGGTGAAACCCCATCTCTACTAAAAATACAAAAAAAAAAAAAAAAAAAAAAAAAAAAAAAAAAAAACAAAGAAAAGAAAAGAAAAGAAATTAGCCAGGCACAGTGGTGCACACCTGTAGTCCCAGCTACTCAGGAGGCTGAAGCAGAATCGCTTGAACCAGGGAGGCGGAGGTTGCAGTGAGCTGAGATTTCGCCACTGCACTCCAGCCTAGGTGACAGAGTGAGACTCCATCTCAAAAATATAAAAATAAAATAACACGGTGGCTCAAGCCTGTAATCCCAGCACTTTGGGAGGCCGAGGTGGGTGGATCACGAGGTCGAGAGATCGAGACCATCCTGGTCAACATGGTGAAACCCCGTCTCTACTAAAAATACAAAACATGAGCTGGGCATGGTGGTGCGTGCCTGTAATCCCAGCTACTCAGGAGGCTGAGGCAGGAGAATTGCTTGAACCCAGGAGGCGGAGGTTGCGGTGAGCCGAGATCGCGCCATTGCACTCCAGCCTGGGTAACAACGGCGAAACTCCTTCTCAAAAAAAAAAATAAATAAAAATAAAATAAAATAAAATAACAAAGGAACGTGTGCAGGACTAAGCTGGTCGTACCCCTTTGTAGGCCAGCTGTGCCGAGAGCTGAATCTGTCTTAGGGAGCACAGTGAATTTGGGCTTGGAATCACTCAGAGTGCTGGGCTCCACTCGTGGCTCTGTCATTTACTGTCTCAATAGCAACTTCCTCATCTGGAATATGGGACAGTAACACTTGGCTTCCTGTGATAATGAAAATGAAGCAATATATGTAAATATTTAGCCAGGGTGGGTTTACTGTAAGTTCTTGGCATATGGTTCTGCCTCAAAATATAGGGGATGAACATGCATGGCAGATGTACAAGATACACTTCCCACGCTTGTTTGCATTTTTCTTCCTCTGAGTATTTCCACAGTGACATGCCAAGTCAAGAAGACTGCTATTAACTCAAGAACCTGGGGCCTGGCCTGGCCTGGGATTATTAGGAGGAGCAAATAAATGTCATGGGGCCTGGGGGCAGTCCTGGACTGGGCTCTGCAGCCATGGGGCAGGAGGCAAGGACCACTCAGCATTTCTGGAACAAATCGATGCTCTGTGAACTCACTTTCTAGTCCCAACCAACGGCAGTGTTAAGTGTTATTTTAAAAGGGTTTTCTGGGCCAGGCGCTGTGGCTCATGCTTGTAATCTCAGCACTTTGAGAGGCTGAGACAGGTGGATCAAGAGGTCAGAAGTTCAAGACCAGCCTAGCCGAGGTGGTGAAACCCTGTCTCTACTGAAAATACAAAAATTAGCCAGGCAGGTGGCAGACGCCTGTAATCCCAGCTACTCAGAAGGGTGAGGCAGGAGAATTACTTGAACCCAGGATGCGGGAGAGGTTGCAGTGAGCTGAGATCGCGCCATTGCACTCCAGCCTGGGTGACAGAGCAAGACTCAGACTCAACAAAAACAAAAACAAATCCTTTATTTCATTTTATTTTATTCTATTTTATTTTATTCATTGGTCAATTATGAGGTTAAAATACATCTTAACACACACAGACTCAATGCACAGACTCAAAAATTTTCTTTGTATTCTCTCTTGGGTAGGAAAGAAAGAGAGAGATGCCAGACACGCTGGCCCACACCAGTAATGCCAGCACTTTGGGAGGCAGAGGTGGGTGAATCATGAGGTCAGGAGTTCGAGCCCTGCCCAGCCAATATGGTGAAACCCTGTCTCTACTACAAATACACTGCACTCCAGGCTGTATCTCAGCTCACTGCAACTTCTACCTCCCAGGTTCAAGCAATTCTCATGCCTCAGCCTCTCGAGTAGCTGCAATTACAGGCGCATGCCACCACGCCTGGCTATTTTTTTTTTTTTTTAAGACGGGCTTTCACCATGTTGGTCAGGCTGATCTTTAACTCCCGACCTCAGGTGATCTGCCTGCCTTGGCATCCTAAGTGCTTGGATTACAGGCATGAGTCACCGTACCCGGCCATTTTTTTTTGTTTGTTTGTTTTGTTTTGTTTTGTTTGCATTTTTAGTAGAGACAGGGTTTCATCGTACCGGCCAGGCTGATCTCGAACTCCTGACCTCAAGTGATCCACCTGCCTCAGCCTCCCAAAGTGCTGGGATTATAGGCGAGAGCCATCACCCCTGGCTGCCTTACAGAATTTAGAATCAATTGAAAAAATAAGACAGAAAAGACAGAATGATGGAGTTGAAATTTATTTTATTATTAAGGAAGCTGACGGTAAGAGGCAGCATTTGGAATTGTCAGGAGGTGGGGACAGGGAGCTTACTAACACTATACCTTCCTTGGCATAAGGAAGGAATTGCTCCACTGTCTTCTAGAATCTTGTGGATGAGAGACCCGGAGCAGAGACAGCCCCAGCAGCCAGCCAGCACTGTCACCAGACACCTGCATCCTGCCTGATTTGTGGGACCAGCACAACAGCCCAAAAAGTCCCATCCCTGATTGCTGACCATGGAGTACACAAATAAAATGGTGATTAAAAGTAAAGGCATTACAGTTTTGAGGTTGTTTGTTACACAGTACAAGATAACCGATACAGAACTCAACACTCTGAAGTGTAGACTGTGGTTTCGGTCTGATGTATTTCCTGCAGCTCATCACCCAGCCCTTGTCCTTCTTACTGTGGCTCCTTTGGTTAATTCCTTCAAAGAATAAACCTCCTGTCTCTTTTTTTTTTTTTTTTTTTTTTCCGAGACGGAGTTTCGCTCTTGTTACCCAGGCTGGAGAGTGCGGTGGCGTGACCTCGGCTCACCACAACCTCCGCCTCCTGGGTTCAGGCAATTCTCCTGCCTCAGCCTCCCGAGTAGCTGGGACTACAGGCCGCGCCACCATGCCCAGCTAATTTTTTGTATTTTTAGTAGAGACGGGGTTTCACCATGTTGACCAGGATGGTCTCAATTTCTTGACTTCGTGATACACCCGCCTTGGCCTCCCAAAGTGCAGGGATTATAGGCGTGAGCCACGGTGCCCGGCCAACCTCCTGTCTCTTGCCTGAAGTGGTAAAACAGGTTCACCAGGGGGCATTATTTAATCACTAATTTCAGGCTAGGTACAATTACTCAAGCTTGTAACCCCAGTGCTTTGGGAGGCAGGGGAGAGAAAATCAGTTGAGATCAGGAGTTCAAAACCAGCCTGGGTAACAAAGTAAGACCTTGTCACTACAAACATTTTTTTTGGCCTGGTGTGGTGGGTCACATCTACAATCCCAGCACTTTGGGAAGGCCAAGGTGGAAGTATCGCCTGAGGTCAGGTGTTTGAGACCAGCCTGGCCAACATGGCAAAATCCCATCTCTATTAAAAATACAAAATTATCTGGGCATGATGGTGGGCACGTAATGCCTCAGGAGCTACTCAGGAAGCTGAGGCATAAAAATTGCTTGAACCTGGGAGGCAGAGGTTGCAGCGAGCTGAGAATCACACTGCGGGGCAACAGAATGAAACTGTGTCTCAAAAT